TGATGAGCGTGGTGTCCTCAGATTGTTCATCCTTTTTGCAGCTTTCCAAACCCTAATCCTGGGTACCTAGAGTAAACCCTGTAAAACCCTAAGGGCAATCAACGTGCAAGAGCCAAGTACGGACATCAGCGGGCCGCAATTGGCGACCAGTGACCAAGGAACTCCGCTTTTTCCGTCGCCGTGGTTCGCACGTGCTCTGACTTGGCAGCGACTTCCAGGTCAAACCTGCTGATCAAAGGACGTGGGACGTCGTGGGTTCAACGTGCACAGATTTTGCTGGTTATGTCGTGGGACGTCGCACATGTTACTCAATACACGGCGACCAGATGCCCCGGTTATCACTTTCACAGTCGCTAAAACAGTGGTTATAAATCAACCCTCATGAATTTCGCCGCTTGATTTTGAAGCCAGGGCACGCAGGACCCAGGTGCGCCGATCCCTGGATACATTCTGAAAGTGCGCATTTACACAGTGCATGATGGAGCTCGCGCCAACATGGGGACTGCTGAAATGCAGCTGATAGCGGCAAGGTGTTCAAAATTCCACATGGCACACAGGATGATCATGAGATCCTTTGACCTGGCTGAGTAAAGGAGGAGAGCTAGAATTTAGCCCCTCACACACACACGAGCCCGGTATATTTAGCTGATTGATCAGGAGCGTCCCCTTCGTTTTGGGCCAGATCTTGAATCAGGAACACAGCTGAGCAGGCATGGCTTCAGGGCAGCTGTCAGTGTCGCTATCCGCAGCTGAAAATTCCTCCGAGAAGGACCTCCGGAATAGCCGCACCCTCCTCAAACCTTTACAGGCATTCCCAAGTTCGACCCAGCAAGCCTCCCCTGCCAAATCCAAGGCCAACATTGAGATACCAATCCTCATTGTGAGCTCAGAGAGCGACTTTGGACCTGGATCGCCCGTCAGGCATGTCAGGGAGGCTCCATTTTCAGTTTCTGCTCTAGAAGAACAGAGCACACCTTCCTTCAATGCTGATCTTGGGAACAGAGAGGCAAGGTCAGCTGTTCAGAGCGAAACAGGTGACAAATTGCTGGCTGCAGGTTTGTGTCACGGTGCTGTGGACAGACCCGAGCCTGGCAAGTACGCACCACCAATGTCCCCGGCCATGTCTGCTGGGCCTATGGAAGGGACGTCTCCTAGACCTGGGTCCGAGGATCTGGAAACAAGATCTGAGAAGGAGCTTGCACATGCTGAGGGAAAGGGGGACAACATTGCCCAGGATGAGCAGCTGACAGGCGGGATTGCAAGAAATGGCACATTGTCTGGTCGATCTCCCTTGCACCCTGACACAAAATCCAGTCCCCTGCCAATCAGTGGTGTCCAAGATCTCTCGAGTGCTGGCAAAAGGGGCCCCCTTCCTGACCGGACAGAAATTCCATTGCCGCCTTACAATCCTCCAATCGCTCAGAGGGATGCAAAGCGAGCCACATCAGCAAGCGGGAGGAATCCTGTCAGCAGGGAGGGGACAAGCGCGGAGACGCATCAGGGAACTAGTGGTGGAAATGAACAGACGGGATCTGTCCAATTGAGCACAACGGGAGAGGTCCTGAGCTCGCCAGAGGCTCCAGCAGGGAGTGGGCCCGAACCAAACCATGCCGAGTCTGCTGAAAAGAGGCCACAGAGTGTGGAGCCCGAGAGCAGCCCAGGCGGCTCCATCACGAAGGCTGTTTCGGCTTCTGATGAGCCACTGCAGAGGGAACCACCCCCAGAAGTGACAGGCAGCGGGAGAGCTCGGGAGGCAGATTTGCAATTGGGAGCTGATAAGCCCTCCATGCCAGGGTTGCCCGTACGGGAACAAGATCGGCCCCAGAAAATCACGGCAGGCCCTGAGCAGCGAGGCGGGGTCCAGCAGCAGCCTGCAACGCCGCCCCCGGCTCAGGCGCAGCCAACAGGATGGGGCAACGGCAGGGCGGCCAACGGGGCATGGCAGGGATCCCCGGGGGGTTCGGGAAGTCAGCGCGGGCTGAAGAGTGTTTCACAGCAAGGGGAGGGGCCGTCAGGAGGGGTTCAGATGCGGCGTCCGCAGAGCGGGGGGCATGGCAGGGGTGGCTGGCAGCCCCCCGGCCGGTACTCTCCACAGGGCCTGGGCAAAGGTGGGGGTTTCCAGGGGTCCATGAACCACAATGCGACGTCTGCCCCTGGCACGAACAATGTGAGGAGGAACGGCGCAGTGGACAATGGGGGGGGGCGCCAGAGGGGGCAGAGCCGCAGCCCTGAGAGCCCCCTGAACTGGGGAAAGCCAGTCAGCCCGAACCTGGAAGAGCTCCCCGTGGCAATGTCGCAACCCCCCGTTCCGCAGCCCCTCCCACCAACGCTCGCAGGGGGGGCTGCCACGCACCTCACAATTGAGTGGCAGGAGAGCCCTCGGTGCCAGTTTTACTTCCTGGACATGGCGTTGTCAGTTGATCGGGGGGTGCGGGACACAGGTTCGAGTGTCGGGAACGGGGAGCGCTTGGTTGGAGAGAGTTTGGACTGGCGGCCCGTGTATAGCGGCAAGGACTTCAAGTGCCAGGTGAGAACCAAACGGGGTGTTTTTTGCGGATGCACTATTGACGGCGAAGCATGTTGATGGCTTGTTCTTATTGCAACCCTGTTTTGCAGATCTTCCTTGTCACCGAGCATGTGTCTGCCGACTGCTCGATGCATAATGCACCATCCCTGCCTGCGACAGCACAGGTGCTCTGATCTTTGTCAAGGTCAACGGGTTGTCTGCTGCAATGCTGTGGTTTTCCTCTTGGTTGCTGCCTTTCTTTTGGTTTTTGGCGGTCGTGCTTGCCCCACGCTCTTGCAGAACATGAGGCGTGAGAATTCTGTTGTATCCACAAGTGGACAGGATGTGGAGCAGCATTGTGAAAGCTCTCTTGTTGCTGCCTAACTTGATATAGAAGCTGCGAGATAAAGCTCTTCTCACCGGGCTTGCTGTAATCGATCCAGCAAACCGGCAACCTGCGCTAGCAGTTGCAGCATCCATTCACATCCCTCCCTATCTCGACCTTACCCTGTGCAGGTCACAGGGCTCAAACCAGGCCAGTCATACTGGTTCCGTGTGCGTTACTTGCCCGCCGCCACCCCCCCCTTTGCTCCCCCTACGCCTCCCCCCCCCTCCCATGCCCGCTTTCTTCTGGACTCAGTGCAGCACCCCTGGTCCCCCTACCCCCCCCCAGCTCGCCTCCCGCGCACGCAGCAACCTCAAGGTAAAATGGGCCCCTCCTCCTGAAACGGGGGGCAAGCCCGTGACCCACTACCAGCTGCGGATGCGCCCCCCCCCGGCACGAGAGGAGAGCTGGTCCGCGGACCCTGACGGCTTTGTGGAGATCTACCAGGGGTCGGACACGTCATTCAAAGTGGCACGCCTAGTTCCTGGGCGGGACTATGCTTTTCGGGTGCGGGGGTTCAACTCCATTGGGGCGGGGGCGTTCAGCCCGGAGGCGATCTTCTCAACGCAGCCGTCGGTGCCCGCACAACCGGAGGCCCCGCAAATGGTCGCGCAGACGGCTACGAGCGTCACGCTCAGATGGGAGGCGCCGCACTCGGGGGGAGCGGAGATCACGGAGTACGTGCTGGAAATTGACGATGGGGAGGGGGGGGCGTTTGCCATGGTATATACAGGTGAAGCATCCCCCTGGACAGTTGCCGTTATGCATTTGGGGCAAATGACTCTGGTATTACCCTATGGGACTTGCATGTGGCTTAAGTTAGGCGCCCAGAAACACGTGGGGTTAGTCTGTTGGGCTGGGTGGGTTCGGGTGCAGAGCTCCTTTTTGTCTGTTGGTTTAGGGGTTTGGGTTAAGAAACCGAAGCTCAAACTGTAGGTCACACGCTCATCAGGTCGGATGGCAATTGCCAGCGTGGGGCATTGCAGCATGGCCTTCCGTATTGATGCGATTCTGTTCCGGGTGGCAATGCTGGTAGTTATTCTGTGATGACCTGGCACCTGTAAGCGAGAGTCCTCGTTAGCTTCCCCTCTTGATGACGTCATGCACTCCCTGTGCTAACATCCTGTGCTATCACCAATGTAACCACTTTGCAAATGCCCAGCGCTGCGCCGCAAAATTTTCGAAGGTCTTCTTGCTGACGTCACCACTGCACTTTCCAGCCCCTGAAATGATGCGCAGGATCCAGCAGCTGCGTGACGCTCTTGCTCTGCTCACTTCAACCCCTGTCCTTCAATTCCTGCTCTGATGACGTCATCCCTCCCTTTGCTGACGTTACCTGCCCCGCCCTTCCCCAGGCCCCGAGATGATATGCGAGATCCAGCAGCTGCGCGCCGGATTCACGTACCGCTGCCGCGTGCTTGCGGTCAACGAGGTTGGCCGCAGCACCTTCAGCATCCCGGCCGATGTCCGGACAGGGCGCGCCGAGCCGTTCAAACCGACCCCTCCAGGTCCGCCTTGAATGCTTGTCTGCTCTGCTACCGTTCCTCTTTCTCTTCTGCCATCTTAGTTCTCTGCCTCTTGCCCTCCCCGCTTTGCCAGCACACCGTACCTCCATTTCACCAGGGATTCAGTATCTTGGTGCCTCCAGTCCTGCAGCCTGCGTCCTCTTGACACAGTATTTTTCTCGGTCTAGATGCATCCTACGGATGTTAACAATATACAGCTTTGAAAGCGCCACACTCTTTGGCGGTCCCTAATACCAGGCACGCTTGTGATGCTAATTCGCATGTGTATTTTGTTAATTTAAAAATTGTGCTTTTGTCCCCCCCAGTGATCTCTTGCCGAGGCCCCACGTCGTTGACGCTCGCTTGGGACCCCCCTGAAGACGACGGCGGCGCAGAGGTGGAAGAGTACCGAGTTGAGATTTGGCACCCCCGTGGGGGGGGTTGGCGGGTCGCCTACGTTGGGCCCGCGCGCGCGTGCAGTGTAACTAATCTCCAGCCAGGGCAGAGCTACCGGGTTAGGGTGCAGGCCGCTAACCAGGTCGGGTTAAGCGAGTGGTCCGGCGAGCTGCGGGCGATGACATCAGCCTCGGCGCCCGACAGCTTGGAACCCCCCGTTTTGGGGGACAGTCACCAGACTGCGGTTCTGGTGCAGTGGGCACCCCCCCGCCACGACGGGGGCTCGGCGGTGGCGGGGTATCGATTGGAGATGGGGGAGGGGGGTGGAAGGTCCGAAAGTTTTGGAAGGGGGCGGACGGTATATTCGGGTTTGGATACCGCGGTGTGGGTTAAGGAGCTGCAGCCAGGATGCGCGTACTCGTTTAGGATACAGGTGAGCGGGGGCTGTTTCGGTTCTAGTAACCCGGATGTCAAGGTCAGCTTGGAAGTTGGAAGCAGTAAGTGAGAACTTGCATAATCAGACAGTTGTTCGGAGACCGAAATGTGAAAAGCTTCAAAGAGCTACCTTCAAACCCAGCAGGAAAGCTACTCAGAGCTGGAACTGCATCTTTTGCTGCCTGCGCTTGAATCTGCTACAACCACGTTGAAGAAATACTCGAATCTCGAATAGGAATCTCTGCCACGCTGCGCCGCGAGAAGATGATGATCTCGCGACTTGCAGAGAGACATAGTCTTTGCGTCCTACTCGCCTCCCCGCCCTTTTCTATGGGGAGCAAGCTTGACGGCAGCCTTTGGACCTCTATAATGGTCTTTCAATTGCCTTCCCGCTTCCGTCCATCTCAAGCACGAAGAAAAGCTAGAACCTGACTGGGGAAACAGATTTACTCAAAGCTTGATAGAGAAACTGCACGACGAAAAGGTCCTCTGTGTGACTCCCATGTGCACATAGTTCCCCTCTCCGCAGTCTGGACTCGAGGCGAACGCCTTCCAGGAGTCACCAAAACAAGCATGTCCCACAAGAACACGAAACCGCGACAAACGAAGTCCCACATACATTCTCTGAAACTCGCTTTGCCGCTCACGCAGACGTGGAACAAGCTCGGCAGCAGTCCGTGGACCCCCCCCGTCGTCTTCCACACGCTTCCCGGCAATCCCTCCAGCCCCGGTCCTCCGACGCTCGCCCCGAGCGCTGCCATCACGATGACGTCAACCCAGCTCCCGCTCGTCTGGGAACCGCCCGCTGCGAACGGAGCGCCCGTCCTGTCGTACTGCCTCCAGATGTGCATGCCCGTGCTTTCTGGCCATGACACGTGGAGAGGTGGGTACCTTTTGCAGAGCAGACGCTTTGAAAACTTGAGGCGCCAAGAAACCGAAGCAAGTATTAGAAAGAAGAACCAACTCAAAAGCCAAAGCTTTCGTGAGGGAGAGGTGGCCGAAATGCTGCTAGTCTTGCTTTTATGCAGAACACCAAAGACGGACGCGCAGCGAATTCGAAGTTGACGTTCAATCGCTATTCTGACCTGAGGATTCTTCTTCTGGAGGCAACCGAGCCCTGCTATTGAACAGTCAGCATTGCCGACCAAAATGACTACGTTGCGGTGTGTTTCTGAGTTGATTGAGGCTACTTTCGGGGGATGAGCAAATCCTCCAGTAAAAGACTTTGGGTTCTACTGATCTCTTTCTAATATGCCATTGCGACCGGCCTTTTCAGGGAGCAAAGGCCGGTCGCTAGCAAACCTCCTCTTACTGCGAAAGTTGCCAGACTCGGGTTTCGATGGTGCTTAAGGGCGACTCTCGTTTCTGCAGGCGAGCGCGCTCCCCGCCCCGCCCTTGCCGACAGCAGCAGCTCCACCGACCTCGCCGAAACCGCCCGCTCTAGTTCGGACGCGTTCAAACCGCCCGGGTCCAAAACCGCGCCGCCGAGCGAGACCGCAAGCGTCGGCACCGGGAGCGTCGACGAGGACACCGCGTTCGATCCCGGGAGTTTCAGCGAGGGGGGGGACGGGGACGGGCTTCTGGGATCCCCCGGAGAGGATGGGATCTCGAGGAAGGGGCTGGCGGGGCGCGCGAGCGAGTGGGGCGCCAGGGAGGAGCTGCGGTTCGAGGATGTGGAAGTGTGCGCGGGCGCGGCGGCGACGGTCGGCGGGCTGATGCCGCACACGCTGTATGCGTTCCGAGTGCGGGTGAGGCTTTTTGACAGCCGAGGACTAAGTAAAAACCTTCTCCGTAACCTTGAAAAGTTTCCATGTGAGAGTAAGACCAATGTTTTTCTGTTGGCGCTGTGGCCGTTGGGACCCGGCGCCAGCCCTGCATTCGGGCGCTTCTTTAGCGGCCTGGCTACGTGGTGTTACGAAATCGAGTCTGTTGAGGTGGACTGTCTCTGCATGACACCAGATTCTGAACCAAAACCATCTGAATCAAAATGCCTGCTGTAGCCAATGGGCTGCGAGTCCAGAATCGCAAGGCTTCCGGGTTTTTCTTGCAGGCGACCAACACGGTGGGCAGCAGCGAATTCAGCCCCGTCTCATACCTCTTGACCGCGTCCGCGGAGCCAGAGGCGCCACCCCCGCCGACGGTCGTCGAAACGGGGCCCGACCACGTGCACCTTAGATGGGAGGTGAGCCGGGCGCCGGAACGAGGCCCTGTCAGACGAGGCCTTTGCAAGATTCCGTTGCCTGGACCAGTTCTTGGCAGTCAGCCTTTTCTGCCGCTGATTCGGCTGCTGGTGACCATCGATAAGACCGAGTTGATTACCCCGCCTTCGAACAGGAAACTGGTAATCAAATGCACGCAGCATCATTCTTCTTTCCGTCGGCGGCAATCTTTTACCTTCTGTCTTTACAGCCATCCTGTAGCGGCTGAGTTGACGCGCCTCCTAATCTGTCCCAGTAACCAGCGAATTGGGCTACTGCTTTTGACGTTCCCCACGATTTCAATCTGTCAGGGGCCCTTTCGCGCGGAAAGATGCGCTGTCACGTTGCCTGTCAGGGCAGCCGGCTTCGTTTCAAGGAATGCCCAATCTGCTTCCTAGCGGCACTGATTCTTCGTCCAACCCCGATCTTTCAAAGAGAAAGACACTTCTTCCCAACCCGCAAGCCGGCCTGACTCACCTTTTTCCTCTTCAAAAACGGAAGCCGGTTCCGGTTATGGACATTCCCATGGGGTCGTACTCCCTGGAGATCGAGGGTCGCAGCAGCACTTCCTTCTTCTGATCCATTTCGATCCACTTTTTACCAATCCACTATTCGTACCAGAACTCACTGACAGGGGGAGATCAAACAATAATAAGCTGATCCTAATCTTCGCCCCGCTTGGACAGAAACCTGCCCGCGACAACAGCGAGTCGGTCGAGTCGTATTCGCTGGAGATCGAGCGCCGCAGCAGCACCGCCAGTCCAGGGGACTCACCGACAGGGAGAATGAATTGTTATGAACAAACTATTGCTAACGACTAGATATTCTGCCTTGCTTTGACAGAAACCTGCTCGCGACAACGGCGAGTCGGTCGAGTCGTATTCCCTGGAAATCGAGCGCCGCAGCAGCAATCGCACCGCCAGCAGCAGCGCATCCCCCGTCGGGGTGAGGCCGTCCAAGCAGCGGGGCGCGCGCATGGTCGGCATCGGGGGCTCGACCGCCGCGGCCGTCGCGGCCGCGAGCAAGGGCGAGGAGCTGTGGGAGGAGGTATACAGCGGCAACGTGCGCGAGTGAGTTTTATGGTTTTGCGATCTCCCAGCTTCTATGAGTTTTAGGATTTTGCAGTCTCCCAGCTTCTTGACATGGTGTTTTGCATTTTGTTTCTTCGTGTTTTAGGAAACTGTGAACATTAGGTGATTGGGATTCTGCAGCATAGCGGCATTTGCGGCGGCCAGCAAGGGCGAGGAGCTGTGGGAGGAAGTATACAATGGGAACGTAAGCGAGTGAGTCTTAGGGTTTTATAAACTCGTTAAGTTTATTTTGGGGTCAAGGGTTTGCGTCAGGTTTGAGGTTCGGTTTTGGACCGTAACCTGACCGCCGCGGCGGCCAGCAAGGGCGAGGAGTTGTTGGAGGAAGTATACAGTGGGAACGTGCGCGAGTGAGTTTCAGACTTTTGCAAACTCCCAGCTTCTTCTTCTTTCGAAAGCTTGCGCACATTTAGGTGTTCAGGATTTTAAACGCACCGGCTGTGGCGGGACCATCTTCCTCACGAGAGAGTGATGCAAGGAGGCATGCAATCGAACTGCCCGCAAAATGAGTCGCGGTTGGCGAAGGCACACCCTTGAAGCCAGTTGTCTGAAACCGCCGCCTTCCCTTCTTCCCTTGCTTCAGGTGCCTGGTGGACACTTTGGATCCCGGGCGCCCCTACCGGTTTCGAGTGCGTGCCTGGAACGCGGTCGGGGGATCCCCCCCGAGCGCAAGCGTGCAGGTGCGGACCGACCCAGCAGCCCCGGGGGCCCCGCCCCCCCCATCCTTCTCTGCTGTCACGCCGACCACCGTCAGGGTGCGGTGGACCCCCCCGGAAGAGGACAACGGGGCGCCAGTCAGGAGGTGAGCATCGCTACAAGGTTCATGCGATAGCAGAGCACATCGTGCGCCGGTTCTCTTGGAGCCTCCTCGGAGAGTGAGTTGTCGTCTGGAATCGTCTGGAAGCGCGCGAAGAATGCTGGGACCCATCGTTTGCAGTGTCCCAAGGCGCAACGTGTCGGTGCCCGCTTGCAAACTTGATCCCTGGCATCAATTTGTTCTCAACACCTCTCTTTCCGATTCGCTGCGAACCTCTGCTTTCACTGATGCTGTGAAACCCCTCCTCCACGTGGAGCGACGCCCTCGAAAAAAGTCCTCCGGTTAATCGAAGGCCTAAACCCCGAAACCGCTTGAAACTCGAGCACTCTTGAGATGTAATCTAGATGGACTCAAACATAACGGTCCGTTTCTACTCTATCAATGTATATTATTAGATGACATCATATTCATTATTAAGTCTTGCTCAACCGCAGTTACAAGCTGGGAGCGGACGACGGTCTTGGCGGCGCGTTCCGGCAGGTCTACGAAGGCTCCGCGCTCAAGCACACGGCCGCTAGGCTCGTCCCCGGCCGGACCTACCTTTTCCGAGTACAGGTTAGTGCGGACCGTTGCTGACGTCCCTTTCACCCTGTGACGTCCTCCCGATGTCCCTTTTTGCACACTCCAAACAGGAAGTGCAAAGGACATCTTGCATGACGGCTCGCTCTAGCTGTTCCCCGAACGGCCCTTTCAGAAAACCCTTGTCTCTCTCTTCTTCTCATTCGCTCCTGATCTTTGACCATTACAATCCCCTTCAAACCCGTTCAAAGTAAGCTTAGATTCTTTCTCATCCAGTCCCTCTTAACCTCGCTTGGCTCATGCGAGGCCCTCGTGAGTCTTTGCCATCTTCGCAATGCCCTCTTACCCGTCTCGCCTCCTCCCTCCAGGCAATCAGCGAGTTAGGCGCCAGCGCGCCGAGCGCCCCCGCTTCCGTCAGCCTGCCACGTGCCCCCCCACGTGCCCCCCTGGCCCCCGTCGCAAAGAGCGCAAACACGTCGGCGCTCGTTTTGGTGTGGGAGGCCCCCGAGTCGGAGGAAGAGGAGGAGCGCTTCTCGTCTAGAACCGGGTTCACGCTGCAGCTGGAGGAGCGGGGAACGTTCAAGACGATCTACGAGGGCGAGGAGCCGAGGTGAGTACTGATTCTTCCTCTGATTCCTCACTGGTGGTGGAGCTTGAAAGGAATATAATTTCTGACATAGCCCGAGGGTTAACGCAGAACCGCCATATGCGCGCTAGTTGCGAATGCAGGGTAATTCGAGCTATGTTGAGAACCGCATATAGCCGGCATAAGTTATTTTACTTATCTGTTTGTTGGCGGACTCAGGCAAGTTGACTTTGCGCCGCGAGCTCGTCTCAAGCACGGGGCCTTGTCTGAGGATTCGAGAGCTTCGGAATGGGTTCGATAGTCCCACTTTCAGACGAATGGCAAGCGGGATGGGCATTCAATCCTCCTTTGACAGTCCGTACATGCTTTCGTGTTTTTGGTCGTGTATGCAAGCCCTCTGTTCCGCCTGCCTGTAAGGTTTCGCTTCACATGCACAAACTGCGCCCGATCCTCCCTCCGGCGTCCAAACGCTAAGGGACTTTGTCTCACGTCATCCGAACCTAGGTTCGGGGAACTCCGGTCACTAACTCTCTCCCTCCGCTTTCTGCGCGCAGTTTCGAGGCGAAGAACCTGGCGCCCGGAACAGTGTACCGGTTCCGCGTCCGGTCCAACGGGCCGCCGGACATGGACCCCGGTCCATGGAGTCCGACCGCCGCCCTCGCGACGGACGCACTCCTCGACGTGGCCGCGCCGAGAGCCCACAAGAGCCCTTCTCGACTCCAGAATCAGCTTAGAACACGCCTCCACGTGTTGCACCAGGAGGCTGACAGGTGGCAGGGCCTGCCGATGCGCCGGGCCGTGGCCTCGCTGTGCGTGGCGCTTGTGTTGATCGCCGCGTTCCTGCAGTGGGGCTGACGAGGAGAGAACCGGTGGAAAGGAGAACGAGACCTTGGAAAAAGGTCATCTGTGTTGCTTGCATTACGAGCGGTGGATGCCTGTACGTGAATTACGAATGCGGCTGTGGTGTGCGCACTGGCTCAGACGTTTGTGGGAGGAAATGTGCGGTCTATTTCGGTCAGTACGGACAAGAAGTGGCCGTTTTCTGCTCAATTTCTTGTTCAATTGGGACAAAAGTGGTCGGGGCCAGGTACTAGCTCACTCCACATGGAAAGAAAGTGGCCCTCCATAGCAAAAGCAGTCGGACCCGTACAAAAACTCGATGTGCTATGCTCACGTGCTCGGTAGTTACATGGACGTTAGTGTCCTGATCTCGTTTTGAATCTAGTGCACAGAAGGGGCCTGTAAACATGAATCTGGATGCTTAGTGCGCATGCATGGGTAGTACCAAAGTAGGGTTGTCCGAAATAAAAATCTGCCTGGAGTACTGCATGGCAGTACGAGGGCCACAAATGTTTGTGTCGAGTACAGCAGGATTTGAACGACGTTAAGTTTAGTGTAGTGAACTTGTCACCATCTTTACGTCGTCAGAACAAAACAAATTGCTGCTAGAGCAACTACCGTCTATGTCGAGGTTGGTAGTGTGCATTAAACAGCTGAAATTAATGGAAGGATTTTGAGGGGCCACGTTTCAAAGGATTGAAGCTAGGAAAACAGGCAAGAGCGCGATGGTACGCTCACGTGTGCGCATGGCATGTCCATGGTTTCGGGCAATGCGGGTTGTGTACTTACATCTCTAGCTGGCGGCCAGGGCTTATAAACGTGTATTGCACATGGGGTCTGATCCAAAAAATGGATGTGCGGAGATCAACGCATATGCACAGGCTGTGGGCCCGATTTACCCTGCAATTGTGTGTAACTTGATATTTGGGAACTGTTGACCTAGCTAGCCTTTTGAATAGGCCACTGAATCAGCCAGTTGCATGCAGTCTAGCTTTCATTTTCGACGTTACATTAGGATATACCGGCGGCCGCACTTAAACTTCTGCATTCAATGACCCTGCCTTGTACCCGGTTGATGTACTTCCAACAGGTTTGCAATTTGGTCGAATTTACCACATCGAGTCTGTACGATGCGTGGCCGCAGCGCTAGCACAGCATGGACCGTCGGTCATGCAGCTAGGTGATTATGTATACTACAGCATATATATAAGTTGCGTTGTACGATATCCTTTTATTTGTAACCCGTAAATAAAGACATCGTGCATGGGTGGGGCAGCGCGCCGCCTGGTACATTCCATGTTGTAAAAGCGCTATGTAGCTTTTAGTAGTACTATACTAAGAGCTAGATCGTGCAATAATAATAGACCAATTGAATAATCGATCTAAAGAATTGGCGTCAGGTGTACAGTTAGATGGCCGCTGTGCTGAGAAGCATGCTGTTCGGTGATTGCTGCTACAGTAGTTAGCTACCTTAAGCAGGGCACCATGCTCAACCTTGCAACCCATCACATGACCGTCGGTACAAGGTCCATACCTATGCCAATTCGGATGTCGCAGTGGCTGTCCATCAGATCCGTGTCATCAAACTAGCCAGGACGAGATTCACAACTGGACGCCCATTTTGCCCAGCGCATCAATTGTACAGGTATCAATACAGGGAAAGCCCATGTACCCGGACACAAGGCCTGGCAAATTGAAGAGTGCTCTTCCTAGGATCCCCGTTCCAGATTCCAGGGCAAGAAACTATTCTGAATTCACGGACAGGGTGCAACTGCCACCAACGTTACGAGGATGGGCATCTGTAGTGGCAGCAGTCTGAATTACACCGAAATGTAACAAGGCGTTGGGGCATGCACGAACAAGGCTGAGTGGCAAAGTACGGTCCAGCTCCAAAACTGCTCAGCTGCAGCTCCGCTTGCTACTCGAGATATGCTTCCGGGACTGGGTCAAGAGCAGGCGACGAACCGAGGTTAAGGATCCGAGAGTCAAGAGTCACAAACTCTGGAGCACTCGAAATGTGCAGTAATAGCCCTCGGACCATTTGAGAGGGAAGCGGTCAAAGTTGAATAGATTGTCCCAACCTTTTGCGATACGGTTCCCCAGAGTAAGTGTGAATTGAAGGAACAAACGGCTAGACTTCTTATCGCAAATGTTTGCACAGCACCTAAACCACGATAATGTCAGTGTACTTGGAACCAAGGGTCACCTCATGCTGCTTTCTGCTGGGGGACTTCTCTGTAGCAGACCCGCTTGACCGCCCGGATGATATCAGGAATCTGTAGGCAAGAAGGGATCAATTGGGGCATCCCGCCAAATGCTTCGCTTTTGGACCTTATAAGTCTTGTTTTGTAAGGGGACATTTGCTGCAGACCCCGATAGTGGCGAATTCTCTCAAACCTAAGGATTCGAAGCAAAGTCAGCTGTCCACTGAGCGCTGCCTTCGTATTGTCTCCTGTGAACCTTTGGCAAACAACCTTCCTGCTTGCCGGAACCTTATTTCCCGATTTCTGCCTCAACACATTAAGGCCCAGCAGAAACAAACAGATTCCTCCAACCATCCGAGGAGTGCGGCTCTACCTTACTCGCTTGCAATTCACGCAGTCGGGTGGATCAAAAGGGCATAACCTATTCACGGTGAAACTGTTGTGGCTTGCGAAGAATGTTGCACCAATGATGCTACAGAAAGAAGAAAAGCGGCTCTGCCGCAAACATGAAGACCCTTTTTGTGCTTAAGAGAAGATTGACATTTGCGAGCAGTGAGGGAAGTGGGCAGCAGGTCAGCTGTTTGGGTAAAAGTACAGGGGAAACTCTTCCGGACACTCAGAAGACCCAGCCAGGAGCAGAACGGCATGCTGAGATGGGACGGTCAGTGTCCAGAGTCGTTCAGCCGACCTGGACAGCAGCTTATCTATCCGAGGAGAAGGCGAAAACTGTTGTATGCACGAAAAGGAATGCGTCCCTGCTGACAGCAGACAGAAAACTCGCTTCCTTAAGGACCTCAAAAGAAAAAACGGAGAAACCGGATTGTCTCGACAAAGTATCAGATTTCCTTTGAGGAGCATATGAACCAACTTACGACTTTGTTCCCCGTAGGGAACAAGGAAAAGTGGATTCTTCCAAAAAGCAGCAAGATCAGCCGTTCTTTTCCTTTTTTGGGCCAAGGAAGAAACGAAGCGAAGACATGGACAAGAAAGCGAACCTGAGGCACCGCCATTTTCTCTAGGTTGGCGGCATACGGCATGGGGACGTCAGCGCCGGTGATCCTCTCAGGAGCGGCGTCCAGGTACTCAAAGCTGTCCTCCGTCACGCTCGCGCTGCGCACCAGCACACAACAGCGTCAGCGCGAACGTCAGCGTCAGCGCATATGTCACCTGCAATCATACCCTTCATACTCTTGTTGTTCGAACCTGGGAACCCGAGGCATGGAGGCGCCAGGGGTTTCGCTCTCTGCAATCCTCTTTAGCGCATGTCTTATCTTGATGCTCGAGTGCGTCTCAAACACAGCCCCGCAAGACCCTTGTCTGAGTACAGCACTTCTTGCATATTTCGAACTTTTAGGCCCCCCGAAACGCCAAACGCCAAGACTCTAAAACGTCAAGAAAAAGTTTGCAGGCTCACATGACTTCCGATGCGACCCCGTGCTGGGGCCAGCCCTCCTCGACGGCCACCAGCCGCGACGTCTTCCTCACCGACTTGTTGATGGTCTCGCGATCAAGCGGGCGGATGGACCGCAGGTTGATCACCTGGCACAAAAACCGCCCGCACTAGTTACAGGGGGGTCCAATGGCGTTTCGCCACCTGGCATAGCGATCAGGCCGTCCAAGCATGGAGTTACTTAGTGCCCTGTCTCAGAAGTGGTGAATGTGCGTGACACCGACTGCAGAGAAAAAGCCCTGCCTGGACGACTGGACGACTTGAGATGGATTGACGTCCTGCGGAGTCGCTGAGGACCGAATCTGTGCTACATTAGTTGCACAAGGCGTGGTTCATTGCGAAGAGAAGTTTTGCTTTTCACAGAGTCTGAAAACATCCCCACAGTCGCTGGAATTGCAGCACTTGAATTGCAGCCCACGTCTTTTCTGCTGCCTTCCAGGTAGTCCTCGAGCAGCATCATGAAGGAAGAGCAGATAGCTTAAGCCGGATTCTCGAATCATTGCTCCATGAATACTTCTGGAAGAGCAAGGAAGGTGGAAACGATTTAGAAACAGTCAGCCGGCTGTAAGGAACCTGGGAAAGTGAGCCCCACCTCCGCACTGATCCCCTCCTTCTCCAGCTCCTCCGCTGCCTTCAAGCAGAACCCGACCATCTTGGAGAACGACACCAGGGTGACGTCACTCCCTTCCCGCTCAATCTGTACGATGCAAGGGTAGCGTGCTTGGTCAGCATCAAGGACTAGCCGTCTGAAGAAGTAAACCCTCGGAGGAAAGAAGAGATCAAATTCGATTCCGGGAATACTGAGCTTCTTACATCGTCCGCACAATCCCGGAAGATGGGTGGGGTCAGGGCGGGGGTTAGGGTGGGGTTAGGGTGGGTTCGGATGCGGAGCAAGTGGATGTCAGGGTTAGGGTTTTAGGTTTGACTTTGCCCTGTAAATGACTAACTAATGATGGGGCTTGTTGTTTATGGAAGCATAACTTTGAGACGGAATCAAGGCAGGATGTTCATGGCCCGCACTTGAGTAGGGTATGACTTATATCCAAGGGGCTAAAGCAGTCAAAAACGAACAGATTGTGCCGTTACAGTGCAGACGACCAAGGACCTGAGTCGTGATCGTGACAACTATACCTCCAATAGCCCCTATCTAATTGCTAGAACTCAGAACTGCCAAAGTCAAGACGCCCACTGCAGCAAACTCCCAGACGAACATTACAAGACACCAAATCCTGGACGTTTTGAGTCGTTTTGACCTAATGCTCACCTTGGCCTTTCCAATCGGCAGCAAGAAGTTCGGATCCAGCACCTCCTTCGACACTGCAAATGACTCGCCATACCTGCAAAGGAGGAGACCAATAAGTCGACAGGAACTGAAACGAGTTTCAGCCAGCACAACGTCGTACCATTTTCGGCACTAATCTTTTCGCTTGGCCTGGCGTCGTACAGGTTTCGCAAGCAACTATCTTGACAAGCCATTGTTAGCTCGAAATGACACGAAAAGACCAAGCAGCTCGAGGCTCTTTGACGGACCGCTCGTTGTCCGTGCCGCACCCCGTTCCTGCTGCTGTCCGGCGTATTGTGCATGCCACAGCCTTACGTGTGACCACAACGTTCAAATATTTTGAAACGGGGCAACTGAGAAGGCATCCTGTCGGATGCAATATATCCATTCTTCGTTAGAATGTATTGCAAGCGACGCTTTCAAACGCAACAAACGCTCAGGGACGAATGAACAGATGTCAGCACCGCTCACATGATTTCGTTCTCCAGGAAGACCACTGGGTCGGGGTCCCGGATGGCGGCTTTCATGAGGCCTCTGGCGTCCTCCACCGAGTAAGGGGCCAGCACTTTGAGGCCCGGACAACTGCCGTACCAGGCGGCGAAACACTGCAGACGGGAGCAACATTGGCGTTTGAGATCCAAATGTTAGATACGCGTTTGAGATCCGGGGTCGAGTGGCATTTTGATAGTGCTCGCAGATAATTGATTGTCCTGGGGAGACTCGCAATAGTGACGCTATTGAGTGATGGAGTGAGACACGCCAAAGGTCACATAATCCGGTGGACATCAGTAGAACTGCGGGACGATCCTGGCGTTTTCAATATGGATTGTCGAGCAATCCGGGTACGAGAGGCCCAGACAAAGGGCCGCGTCTGCCTTCAACCTAACGGTCATTCTGCATGCCAGATCACCAGCACGACTAGAAAGCCATAGACACCTAAAATAAAAAGCGACAAGGAAGTCAGGATTACACACATTTTGTCGCAATAATCAGAGTATCGATAAGAGCTTACCTGTGAGTGCTGGGCTGCAACACCGGCCGCCGCGCCGTTAGGACCCCGGAACACAATTGGCACCGTCAGCTGCCCCCCGGACATGTAGTGGCTCTTGGCCGCAGAGTTGATGATGTGGTCAATCGCCTGCAACGAAGGTCCCAAGGTTTAGAAGGGAGCGGAAAACTTCCGATCTGGATATGCCCCAATCTAATCAAACGTCCAAGTTCAAGCGGTTTGGCTAAACCAAGGTCAAGAAAGCCTTCTCGATATTGCCGACGATCCCTTTCTCGGCAAGAAAAAGATTCCTGCAGACTTTTATTCCTTTGTATCCATGAGGAAACATTTGGGCACCACAGGGGACCTTGTCTGATACCTCTTTCCGAAGTTGTCTAGTCAAAGATTGCCAGTCTGGATTCATCACTGGCCGCTCTGAAAAGTGAAGACTGCAGCGTACTTCAGAGAGAGGTCCGTGCAGAAGAAGCCAAAGAGCCAGTGGGTACTTAAGCAAAAAGTACAAGCGGCTTACCTGCATGGCGAAGTTGAACGTCATAAACTCCACAATTGGCTTCAGCCCGTAGAAGGCGGCTCCCACACCTAGTCCCGTAAATCCAGCCTGCACAGAGGAGAAGACACAGTACAGTTATTCTACACACTACAAGCATCAGAGCTGGCTGATTCTGCAAATTTCAAAAAGTGCGAAACCTGATGCCCTTGCTGAAGTTGCAGGCTAAGCCAGCGGTTGCAGTGATCCTATGCAAGTGGCTTTTATTGCTCTGCAGATCTACTGAGGTTCTCTGGGGAAGTTTGAGTACCAATGCCTGCCCAAGGAGATCAAGATTTTGCCGTGTAGACTACTTCGCGGGCAGGTCAGGACGAGGGGGCTCGTCCTCAAAAGGCTCTTCGTACTGCTCTCACGTATCGTCCATGCAGTTTTGCGACAAGTTTACTATCCCATTTTTGAAAATGCGATGATCCACTTCCTTACCTCCGTGATTGGAGTGTCCCGCACTCTTTCTGGGCCATACTTTTGAAGGAGGCCCTTGGTAATCTGCACAATGCCAATCATGGGTAATTCTATGAGTGCATCCGATGGTGGAAAGTAAGACAAAGTAGGATCACACGCTCAATGATTGAAAGTGGGCAGAGTAGCGCTCAATGCTGTGAATTCCATTGAGGACAGAATCTCGACGCGGACTAGATCGTAGAACGCGGCCATCAGACCTCCTTGCATCGCTCAGCTTTGTCATTGTATCATTCAGCTTTGTTGTTGCTCCAAACAAAGACAAAGCTGACTGATATTCTCCTGGAATTTAAGTCGACAAGACGTCTAAGGTACTCACCTTGTAAGCGCCCTGGTATTCACCAACCTCTTCCCCAATAATGAAAACCTTGTCATCATAGGCCATCTCCTCATCGAGGGCTGAATTCAGCCCCTCACGAACCGTCATCTGTGAAATCACATCATGTTTGAGTGAATGACAAAACCCCGACAGGTTGGTGAACGCAAGAACGGCGGCAATTGCAGATAGTCTGCCCTCCTAAGCAATATGATCAAACATGCACAGCACATGGTGCTGCTCTCCACACCTAGTAGCTGCCAATTGGCTGCGATCGACGAGCCCCATGAGGACTTGCTGAGATGCATTGCTCAGAGGCATGGTTCATGCCCTAGCATTGACTCCGATACGATCGACACACCAGAAACCTTCATCAAAAGTTGAGGAAACGCAAGCACCTTCGTGTCCGCCGGGGTTGATGCATATTTCCTCAAAGACGACCACGCTGCGCCAATGGCAGGTGCACCTTTACCAGAGATCTGCCAACAGAGAAATGAGCGGGCTGAGAATTAAGTATGCCCTGAATTGAAAGCACAAAAGGCTTTTAATGTCGTTGGCAAAGATACATGGATTCAAGCAGCTCGTAGATGCCACAAGAAAACCCTTTAGCCAATCGCTGCAGAGCATGGCAAGACAATAACATATACAAGACCGCTGAGGATTGGCCGGCAAAAAAGCAATCACGCTCTCAAGGATCTGGCGGGATCTAAGCCGCAAAACGAAGTGAGTTTTGCTACGCTTACGTCCGCCTGTCGAAGAAGGGACGAATGCAGACTCCTGCGCAAAGCCTGCATCTTGACTTGACCCTAGACCCCAGCTATTAGCTCCGATTGCGTGTATCGGACTTGGAGCTTCTCCCTCAAAGCCACACCCCTTGGATGACAGTGCGAATCACCTATGCATGCCAGCAGCTGGACTACAAAATCAGGTGCGTAAATGCTGGATCAAAAGCCGATCAGAAGTTGGTGAATCTGAAATCAACCTTTGCGCAAGGAGCTCAGCGCAGGAGCAATGGCGTCCTGGCTGCAGGCACTGTTGATAATTAAATATGTCGGCCGCCCCAAACCGCACTAGCAAAATTTTGAGGCTTCCTCCAGGCTGGAACTAGGTTGACGTGCTTATAAACCTTTTAAGGACTTCTGATTCCGGACATCCCTAGGCTAGAATGAGCACAACTTACTGACGTGGACTAAAAGCTGCGCAGACTACTTTGAAGTTCCAAGCCGCCTTATTCGCAGACAGTTGACTTGAGCTGCCAGTGCCAAGGCAGGAGCCTGCTCAGGCAGAGGCCGTTTTCAATTTGAATTTTGACCAAGGTTGAACTTAAAGGTCCGCACATGAATGGGCGCAATTCCTTTAAGTTTGAGAGGAGACGCCCATTCCGTCAGCAGTGGTGAAGAGGTACACCGCTGGACGTCGTCTTGAAATCGCTTTTTGGAAGGGAAAAAATTGGCGGACGCATAGGTTATTGACAATTGTACAATCTGCTGGTGCTTTTTGAAGTGGTGGCAAAATTTCCCCATTTTCTTAAGTGCTCCTGGTGGTGCACCACTGGAAGCGAAATTGAGCAGCTGCCGCGATCGAACGTATCAAGACTGGGTCAAGAGTGTACTAGTACTACAAGTAGTAGTATTATAAGCTTACAGAAAACATCTTTCATGAGAAACTTTTTGGTTCCGCTTAATAGAGGTGAAAGGGCGAAGAAGCGGAGCATTGTTTAGCTGCCAAGGCTTTCACCATGTTCGTCAACGCTGGACCCGTAAGTAGTAAATAATCACGCTTAACATTTGCCCTTGCTTCGATTGCCTGCATATGCAATGAGTCCTGAGAAAGGACCTGGTCCAGTGCATCACTCAAATGGCTCATGTCGTTCTGGTCTGCAGCTTTGTCACCATAGTTCAAGCAATTCTCTGAAAGGTGGTATGATGAACGTATGGTGAACCTTTCAAAGCCATCCTTTTTGCGCTTTTTCCTGCACTTACCAGGCGGCAATTCCGGACGTCCACTATCCACCTGCTGATCAGGACCTTCAGGGTGGAGCCTTTGATGGCCCCATTCGACGCCTGCACCTAAACGAAAGCTTCCTTCCTCCCTCTCCTAAGGTGAGACTTGATCAACAACACAGAAGCACTGGCAAGAGGCTGTTTCAATACAAGTTGAGAGAAGCTCTGATTGTCCAGTTCCTTAAAAGATGATCTTTTGCCTCTGGTTCTAGTGTCTAAACAGGCCCTTTGTGTAGCTCTTGCATTCCTTCTTAGTGTGTCTTTTGCATGTTCGAAGTCGGTGTGCTTCATGCTCTGCAGCATCATCTGCCTGTGTCCTTTCCGCTAAACTGGCATCTCTTTTCTACTGAGATTCTGTGTAAGTTGAACAACATTCTGCCTCTTCTCCGTATGCAAGGTAGTGGAGGCGATTCAGAAGGCCTGCAGTACAGTCAACCGCTATCCAGACCCAAAGGCCAGGGGCATCACGAAGGTTTTGGCCGAACGGCTCAGCTTCCCTGTGGGACAGATTGTTGTCACAAATGGCTCTGACCAGGGCATATCGGTAAGTTCTGAAACACTCAAAAGGAAGCAACAAACCTCAGTATGTGTCAAAAGCATAACCAAGGTCCCAACAAGAGATTTCCTTAAGAGGAACTTGGCGGAGAGGAACTTGATGGGGATCGTTTAGAGCGTGGAGAAAGCAAAAGCAACTTTTCCGGGTTTTGAGCTTAGAAGTAGCAGAAGCTCGCAGAGACTAGAGTCCACGTTATTGTGCAGATCATTGGGGAGCTGTTCCTGGGAGAAGGCCGGTCGGTTGTCCTCCCCGAGCCATCATTCCCCAGCTATCTAAGGGCTGCAGAGACTGCAGGAGCAGAGGTGAGAATCGGTTGCCAATTTTGAAAGACTTTTTCGCTTGGCGTCGCCTCCTCAGGCGCTTGCCACTTACGGAACTGTGCCTTGCCTAGTTCTGTGGATCATGAAGACCGCAGATGCTAGACGCTGCGCCGCTGTTGTGAAGATACTGACAGCGTATGGGACTCACTCATATTGCTGGAGACACGATAAGTTTGCTAGGGAAGTGTCAATGACAGACTGCCTTCAAAAGCGTGTATACAAAGTGCGTAGAGCCCCTCTGTCCCACAAATCAAGCCACGCAGCCTGACAGTGATGTCACAGTGGCTCGCAGACCCTGTTGATTCCTCTGCGTGAGGACGGCGCCAACTCAGTGGAGGCCATGATTGATGCCGTCACTGACTCCACGACTGCAGTCTTTGTCTCGTCTCCAAATAATCCAACAGTGAGTTCGTTCTGCTCAGTTCATCCTTCTCAATGAATTGCAGTCAAATATCGAGTAGCCAAACTGCAGGCAACGTTTCCCTTGGTTACTTGAAGCGTTTGCCTCGGCCATACCGGGGTGGATTCTGGCCCGTCCAATGCGGAATGTGAACGACATCATTTGCCCCTGCAAACTTTGTACGCTGTCAACTTTCCATGTCTTACTGACTCCCACTCGTAGGAAACACTCGCTTGCGGCCCAGGCTACTTACGATAAAAGTTCACTGTCGCTTTCTTCTCAGGGAGCGATACTTCAGGAGCCCGAGGTTCGACTCCTGGCGGAACGCTTGCCCGACTCCGTCCTCCTGGTGTTGGACGATGTGAGAGGCCGCTCCTGAATATCTCCCACAAGGCTTTCTTTGTGAGAAGTCGCCGTAGTGTCCATTTCCTTGTTTGAGCGCGAAAGTAGTCTGTGCACGTGTCGACCTGCTTCGCCGTCCGTGATTGGAGGTTACTACACTGGATAGATTCTACTCGATCAGAGAAGGTTCCTCATTACGAAGAAACTTGGAACAAAGTGGCTGACGTTATCCTCGTTTCAACTAGGCGTACTGCGAATTCGCCAAGCACTCGGGCGGGCCCGACAATTTAGAAATCCTTCGAAAGCACAGACGAGGTGAGACCGCCAAGTCAAATTCCGGCGGCTTCGGATTGAGGGTTTCTTGGCGGGCCAAAAACATTTGGGCTATTGGCTGGGGCATCAGTTGAGATCTGAGAAGCGGGTCTTCGATCTGGAATAGAATTGCGTCGAAAGGATATTCGCTGGTGGCCCCCGCTCTACTCAATCGGGGCGAAGATCTCACACAATGATAGCTGTTTTTGGGGTGGAAGTGATACACTAGTCCGACAACAACTCTGTCGGCTGTATTCGCTGACCTGCCCAGCTCAGGCGCCGAAGATGGAGTCAGCATAGACTGGAGAACCTTACGGCGTTTCGCTTAAGTTTCGCCTCTCAAGGGCTCCTACGAGGAACACTCAAACCCGACGGTGTGACCACGACTGGTTCGTTAAGATCGCACTGGACGCCAGACTGTTAAAACGATGTCAGCTCATCCTCATGATTCTCAAAATGATGACGGGAATTTCGACGCAAGCGACTGAGAGCATCCAAGTGAGCTCTGTCCGCGCTCTTCAATGCAAATGCTGCGATCAGCCAAGCCTACGGCCGTCATGTGAATTGAGAACGTTCGATGCCAGAGGATTTGTAGCGTATGAATCATGACGTCACCTCCGGGGACTGGGTGGGATTAGAGTGGGGGTAAGGGTGGGTTCGGAGGCGGAGCGCATTAGTATTCAATCAGGTCTTTGATTTGTTTTGGCTCGGTAAATGACCTCATACATCATACAGCTCATTACTCGTGAATTTTCAAGTGATTCGTAAACTCTTCTTATAGGGCCCTGGATCGTGCTGCGCACGCTCTCGAAAGCGTACGGGATCGCGGGCATGCGCGTGGGGTACGTCCTGTGCAGCTCGCAAGCCCTGGCGGAGTCATTCCGGAAAGTCACGCCCATCTTTCCCGTGGGGCTGCTCAGCCAGGTGAGTTTCGAGGGCCGGCTCTTTGCAATTTCTCTGTCTCCTCCGATGTACCTTTCATCCTCCTACCGACGCCTCTTGTCCCTTATATTGTCTGCTTTCGGCTTGCTTTAGGTGCACTTCTTTTGATCTGGTAAGGAGTTCAAATGGAAAGCTGTGTACTCGTTTCCACTCTGTCTGGACGATGACTGTGCCGACATCCTCTATACTTTCCTGCCAATCCTTCGGTTATGTCAATATATTTCACCATTATGACCTTCATTGTCAACATTGACATCATATTCACTTATCGACATGTAATGCGAGGAGGCGCACGAAATTGATTGCACTCATTATGGGTCATAACCTGAACCAGTTCTAAACCCGACCGTTCTCGTACAGGTGGCGGCAGAAGCCGCGCTTTCGGACCAGCCGTACAGCGACTGGCTCGTCCAAGAAACGGTCAAGCACCGGGAGGCGCTCGCCGATAGCTTACGGTTAGCCTACTTTGTTTGGCCGGGTTCTTCTGCGTCTTGAGCGTAGCCTTGAAATGACTTCTTCCCCTTGCTTAGGTCATCACTTTCCAGATCGCACACCCCGATATAGTGCCCAGCTGCCTCTTCATCAGTGATAGCTTTCGGTTCGTTGTCCAAACCCACTGATTGTTCCAGCTGATGAATTGCACGCCAGGAGTTCTGGCACGTACGAACCAGTTGCATTGTTGGAACGTTCCTTTCTTTTTCAAAAGGCGTTTGGTGTCAATCGTAATTAGATGTGGAGACGAGGTCAGCGGCCGATTCCAAACGCCCCTTGACCATCAGTACTGACCCAGATCAGAGACCTGCGTCGTTAGGCTTCTCTTTGTTTACACAAGCCGTTTTCGACTTCCGTACGTGTCAGCACGTGTGCAGTTCACCAGATTGTCAGTGGGATCCTCGCTTTGCACATAGGGCGCCTCTTTGGTGCTGCTGCAATGTCGGAGGAATGTCTCCACATCCGGTAGGCTGCACGGGCTGATGCGTTCCATCATGTCTGTGTCCATTCTGTGCAGCTCGCTAGGGCTGCATGTTCTTCCGACCGAAGCCAACTTCGTGGCATTCAGGGTGGACAGATTAGCGACAACCGTTATAGCTGTGAGTTTCTAAATAAGCTTTTCGTCGCTCGTTAGCACTTCACTTTCGTGGGTACCTTCATCCTGTCACGCAGGCTTGGCATAACCATCAAATGCTGATTGTGAACTTTTGGAAGCGATGAGATGCATCTCTTCGCTCGCTCATGTCAATCGAGTCTGCATCCTGTGCGTTGCTGACGGTTGCATGACTCTGCAGGCGTTGGCAAAGAAGGGGATCCTGATTGGCGCCTGTCGAAGCTCTCTTGAGGTATGGGACAATTACCTTCGAGCGAGCGTAGGATCGCCAGAAGATACCCGTGCTTTCTTGGAGGCTCTGAAACAAGAGCTGAATCTGTAGATGTTCAACGGCCAAGTTCATCAAACTGTGGAACGGTAGGCATCGTGTTACCTGATCATGACCGTCCATACAGAGCTACTTGTACGTGCATACTAAAAACGGGTCACTCAATAGCCGCAATTTGAGTCGCCATGAAATATCGATGACATACCTTACGTCCGATCCATATCGAGGCTCCTAGATGCATATGCGGTGTCTGAAGAACTTTCAAGGACGTGACACATGGGCGCAAATACTGCATGCATGGATTCTCTCAGGCTGGCGCGACGATCTTGCAATTGCTGTGCAGTGAAAAAGTCAGGCCCCCGGCGCTCGATTTAGCTGAGCCATGACTTTATATATACAGTTCGCGGGCCGCCCGTGTGCGCATCATAATGATTCATCATGTGCGCGCAGCTGCATAATTAAGCTATACTTGATGAGACGGTCGATCATGTGTAGTTCAAAATATGTCAGTCTCAAATGATCATGTGCATGCATATGGCATTTTCATGCATTGGCCTGATTTCACATGCGTTATGATATGGCGGCTAGGATAATCAAGTACAAGAGTATTAAGCGCATGTCGCCGGCGTGCCAACTATAGGAGAACTGGAGCTTGACCTTGTGAAGGGACTCGAATGACATGCTTCATGTTATATGCGACAGATGTCAGATCGTTTCAGGTTGATTTCGCCTACACCGAATCCTGACAGCCTATATCGTGACAAATTCAACACTGCATTCAGTTTTGTGCACACCTGGCGAAATGTCCTCTGCATAACTCAGAGTAAGACCTCCACCCTTGACGAAACGAGTCTCTACCTCGTCACATGTGCCCACCAGTTCATGTAGGCAAGGCGGAGGCAGGTGCAGTGTGAGCACACTCAAACACTTGATCCAATGCAACATTGTTATACTATGTAGCTACTCGCTACTCGCACTTAATTGCCTTATAGATGTGCCGTACAAACAGTAGCGCTGCCCTGAAACCCACGGCTCCAAGCAGTAAGAACGACCCGTAACAAATAATGGACATATACCCGAAGTAGAAGGAAGTCTGCATGAACCCAGTCATGTCCGAGTGGCCATAGTAGTAGTAGAAGCAGTATGCATAAATGAAGAAGGCCGCCGAGCCACCACAGAAGAGGGATCTGTAAGAATGAAAACAAACGGTTTCGCATATCGCCCACTCTTTATTTCAGTATGCGTCGTTGCGTCACTTCATTAGAGGCAATGATCCTCTAACACCCAGAGGGTCCTCAGCCAAACATTGTAAGGGATGGGGGAAGTGAGATATTAATCATCAAGGCAAGCAACCGAATGGCACCAAGAGTCAAAGAGCACCACGCAATTCGACAGGAAGATAAAACTGTAGAAGGGATATAACAGGCAACTCCAAACACAACTCTAGATGGAGCCAAGCAACCAGAGCGGGACCAGTTCCGGAGCCCCACCTCCACCACCAGCCGTGGTCCTCCGCCGTGAGCTGGAAGTACGTCAGCCCGATCGTAATAAATGCCGTCACGATGATCAGGATGCAGAACACGATGAACAGGATGCTGTAGATGGTGTAGATCTTGTGGCCCCACACGCTCGCGAAGATGTAGTACAGCTCGATGTAGATTGCGCTGAACGGGAGGAAGCCAGCCATGATGGTCTGCGGGACGACGTGGCGGTACCACGGCAGGGCGGGGATCTCCCGCGGGAGCTTGCTCGTGTGGCACGGCGCGTCGAAGTCGGCGGAAGAGTAGTTCTTGCCCGCGATGCCGCCCACGACCTGGGTGAGAGAAAAGGGGGAGTGAGGACGTTTGTTCGACTTTCTTTGTTTGTCGTGTCGGCTGGAAACCGGAAGGTCCCTGATTAGAGCGCCAACAACTAGAGGGGGAACGATGCAATGAGCAGTGAGAAAGGCAAAACCGGGACGGGTGGAATTGGTTAGGGGGCTTATGGTGAGTGCAGGTGCGGAGCTCGTAGATCTTACGTGTGGGATTCCAGCTTGATCGAAAGCTTACAGATCACTGGGCAACTGGGTTTGAGGTTTCTTTGACGAGAAGAAGGAGCCAAGGAGCAAAGTCTACCTTTGGGGCTCACAAACGAGGCAAGCGACCCCACGTTTGCCAAACCAGAAAGGGCAGAGAAGCTACAGGATGCCGTCACCTACTTCTGCCTGCCATTACAAAATGCCGAAAACTGACGACGAAAGGCTCACCGTGAAGGCGGTAATGACGCCCCAGATGAGCAGGATGATTACGATGGTCCCGAAAGGCAGCGCAGCGGTCGTTTGGTTTGCCCACGCAACGCTGTTGTTGAAGCAGAAGGTGAGGAAGAGCGGCAGCGTGAAGAGGGCGCCGGCCATCAGCAGGTTCTGGGCCTGGGGTTAAGGAAACGGGACGGGGTTTAGGGTTTAAGGTTTAGGGTTTAGGGTTAGAGAGTAAGGCTTTCGAGAATGACGATTTACTTGATCGACTTTGAAAGCACTACTGTGAGGGGTTTTGCGCATTCTTCCCCGATGTTTGACACTTTAAGTAGAAGAAATGGCGGCCATGTAACTTAAGGTCGACACAACGATCAGTCGGTACGTCAATCGAAAGTCTGGTCAGAATCGATGCTGCCAAGTGTTGCAAGACGAAATAAGGATACGGTACTCGCAAACGCCGCTAGAAGCAACGGTCTATAGAAGGAGAGGCGTTTTCGCGAGAATGGACCGAGAGTGGAGCCTAAAAAGCGTAGGGTACTAACAAAGTGAACGGGTAACAACCCAAGTTTCAGAGTGGATACCCTTCCTGCGTCCGAGCACAGCGTTTCGCGCAACTCAAGAACACGCTGGTGGCTTGTCAGAAGTCAGAACCATAAATTGTATCAACAAAAGCCGTAGGCTCAGCAGAAGGGGTGCCAGGCACACAGGATCTCGATAACTTTAAGCTCGAAGCGAACATCCACGCACCAGATGAAGGAGGAGCCTTACCCATTTGGTCCCCCCCATCTGCTTGTAGAAGCCCGCCGAGACGTACCCGCTGATCCCCGCGGTCAGCGCGTAGAGCAGGATGCTCGCGGTGTACAGCCCCCCCCGATTGTACGGGTAGAACACGCCCACGAGGGCCAGCATGAAGATGCAAAACACGAGCGCCAACAGCTGGGTGCCCGCGCCGATGATGGCGCAAAACAGGCTGCGGCAGAGAACGGTGCGTCAGCGATCTCCGGGTAATCAGGGGCATGGCACGCTGAATCTTCTTCTTATCTACTCGCTTTCATCTCGGTGCAGTACTCAAGAGTCCGCCTCTCGTACAAGTGTATGGCCTTTTTCCTAGTTCACAATTAAACAACGAAGGTAGAAGCACGATAGGGTCTATGCCCTTAATGGAAACCAGGAGCGCGGTGCATAAACCAGGGCGGCTTTGCTACAGAGCTACGGATGCCCCACCTTAGCAACGGAAGCGAAGTGTCTCTTTCCAAGCGCCCTTCAAAATTGACATCCGGAGAACGCGTCGGCCCAACATTCAAAAGCTCACAGGCCCCAACGTACCCATAGAAGCAGGTGCAGTCCTGAGGCACGTGACCCAAGCAACCGGTACAAGTCTGACCTTGGATAGGGAGGGAAGCGGAAGACGTCCGCGTGAATGTACTTCCAGCCAACCTCGTCCTGCTCGCCAGCCGCAGCCTCCTCCTGAGCATACCTGTTGTCAAGCAGAGAGACAAGTCAACCAGCATTCTCTCTCGTCAGCGGACGTCATCTTAAGAGTTGCACTGGTTGCACTGGTTGCACGCACGTAAGGTTCGGCTGTCGTTCGACAATCTGCCACAGCGAAACTTGGCGCTTGAGGGGCGCAGCTATCAGCCAATCGGGGCAACAGTCGGGTGCTCCATATTGCCCAGCTTCAGCCGTCGGTATAAGCGGGTTGCAGACCAACGGTCTGTCTTCTGAATGAAAGAGGAGCTTCACCTTGTACACAGCAACATTGTTCATTTTCCGTTGCTGATCCTGGAATAGTCCATTCCTCAATATCGCTTCGCTGATCTCATCAACCTGGACAAAAGAAACGAATAAAAGCCAATGGACCCACATGGAAGCGTCACAGGGCCCGCTTGCCAAAGAGACGCGCTCACTTGGTGAAGTCGTTCTTGAGCACGCGCATGAGGATGGTGGCCAGGAAGCCCGTGAGCAGCAGCACGGTGACGCAGCTGTTGACGATGGAGAACCAGTGGATGTCCAGGTGCTGCGGCAGGAACGAGTAGCGCAGGTACTTGTCCATGCGCCGCTTGAACGGCGTCTCGCTCGTGTACCACTTGGCGGAGAACGAGAAGTCGACCTGGGGGGAGGAACTAGCATGAGGGGACGATTCGGAGGGGGCGATTTGTGACCCGAGTATGTTATATGAGGACTTGTAATCCATTTTGTGGACGGGCAGAGAGGCGGGTCAACGGAAAACGTGAAGGAACTATGGCTTTGCTCAGCACAAAAAGATGATAAGTATCGCTCGTGTACCACTTGGCCGAGAAAGAGAAGTCGACCTGGGGGGAAAAACTAGCATGAGCACAAAAATGAGGGCGACCAATTTTGACCCGGGAATGTGGTGACGACTTGGAAGCCAGGCTTGAGAACGGACAGGGAGGCGGGTCCACGGGAAACGAGGAAAATCCTGAAAGAACTATGTCTGTGATCAGCAGAAAATCTTGAAATGTCTTGCTTGTGTACCACTTTGCCGAGAAGGAGAGTCCACCAGGGGGGGAAGATCTAGCATGAGGGGAGGATTCGGGGGCTTGTTATGAGCCGAGGCTTTTGTCTTGTGACTTACAATCCGCGCGTTGTGGACCGACGGGAAGGAGGACTTGACGGGAAGACGGGTCGACGGGAAACGAGAAGAACCGTGAAGGAACCATGGCTTTGCTCAGCAGGAATCAATCGCGAGTACCAATCGAGTACCACTTGGCCGAGAAGGAGAAAGCGACCAGGGGGAGGAACTAGCATGAGCAGGATTAGGGCGGGATTTCTGGTGCGAGGTTTCATTGAGGACTCGTGATCCGGATTTGTAAAAGGAAGGGGAGGCGTTTTATCAGGGAGGCGGGTCAGAAACGTGTAGATGTATGGAAGGTCGAACGCTCGGCTGGTAAACTTTGTCTCAGCAAGGACGAAGCGAAAGGCGTCCAGGAAAGAGGAAAGACGAGAGGTGATCAAGAAGCAGAATCGATGGGTGCACCGCGGCAAAATTGTTGCCAAAAATGTGAGACGCTAGAGCAGTCAGGCACCTTCGGTAAGGATTTGCTGTCAGTCTGATCGATAAAAACCTTATTGCGAGCCGAATCAAATCATGACCTGAAATCCTGCCTCGGCTAGATGTGCACCACAGCACTTGGATCGACTTTATTGGGGAAACTAGCCTTGCCCTAGAAAATCACTTAGTGCCTAAGTCACCGCTGGCCAACGCAAACGGTGGTGCATTATGCACGTCCTGCCCTTTCTTGAACGGATGTCTTTCTTTGGGAGCCAAAGCAATCCTGCCAACTTAAGTACTTGACCATGGGAGGGGCAAGAGCCGGAAACGACCGATAGAAATGCAACAGAAACTTGGAACAAAAATGTAACGACCTCGTCCTCACCTCAACGGGCTCGTCATCTGAGATGTCCACCGTCTGGAGAGGGTCCGTGGACACATTGATTTCCACGACTTTGTCCTTGTTGTAGTGAATGTCAAAGTGCACATGCCTGTACAGTAGGTAGCTCATAGCCCCCGTGGCCTCCTTGGCGATCTTGCCGATAAAACCCCAGATAGGGAGGTCGTCATAGAACATCTGCACCAAAGGAGAACGATATGAGTTTCATTAACGATATGAAAGCTGCCAACCTTGTTGAAAGATGGTCAGAATCAGGACCAGCGCCCTTTGAACCAATGAAATTGAGACTTTCTAAGCAAGTACAGTTTGGGCAAACGCGCTGTGTCACATGAAAGGGCACTGAAAGAGAAGGGCTTCAGATCCTAAAAGAAACGTAATTTTATCCGCAGCTCAGGGGATGATTCATCATCCATAACCTTCCTTTCTCAAAAAGGTTCCTCTGTCCAAACGGATTCTTGGGGCAGAAGGTCAACAATCCAAGACCAGGTTTGCAAGATTGGCCATCACCCTCGCAAACTCAGGACAAACGTTTTACATCACTTTTGCTGTACCAGATTAGGCCCAGATAATACCCTTTCTGCCGACGGGCTTATTGGAAGAGTAAATCTCAAACTCAAGCGTTCTCAAATACGGAGATAACTTCAGGACAGCATCTGAGCACCCTCATGCAAGCAGGAAGCTCATCTGAAAGTGTGACAATCACAATCGCTGGTGTAGCTTTTTCCCGTAACCAAAGCGAGATGACTAACCTGGAAGTAGAAATCATCGCTGATGGCCTGCCTGAACTTCTGGACCTCCTCAACCGTGAGCGTCTTTGAGCAGAGCTTCTCGTGTTCCTTGTCGACCCGGAATGGCAGATCATATTCGGTACTCGTCATCCTGTCCCCCTCCAGGACTTCCCCCAGATCCTCCAGCTTCTGTTCAATGCCTTCTGAGGGTTTGCAGAAGGGCAGATAGTAGTACTGGTATGAAACGCTGCAGAAGCGAGCGGCAAGATTCAGAGCTTGCCAAGGCATCAGAGTCTTCTGCCATCGTAATCATACGGTTGTGTCAGCAAGCAGTCCTCACTTCTTGTTCGTACCTTCTGTTGTTAGTTGGATTGATAGGACGACCAACCAGGCAATGGGGCATTCACCAGGATGAGAGTGGAACCGGAAGTCGTCAGTGCCGATGTGTGTGCCAAAAAGGGCCTCGCAAGTATCCATTTTTTAAAGCCTTAAAAAGGCCGAAGTTTGTGTAAAGAGGCTGGTGCCCCCGCAAGGCTCTCATCAAAGCTTGCAAACTAAAAAGTAGATTCGTCTAATGTCTCTACAACATGTGCAAAAAATCCCATTTGTCTGACGGCCACTTGGAGCCATAATCTGATTGTAGACTAACAGCAATCGTATGCAGCTGCAGGGCAACAGAGTGTCTGAACTTGCTGTCCACTTCGAGTTTCCAAGAACTGTGGAGGCCCAACCTACCTTGGATTATGGAATGGCCCCACCTTGTTAGCTGCAAAACATGAAAAAGTTAAGATCAGCACCCTCGTGCATTCCAAGAACCGCAGCCAAACGAACCAGCCAATCAGCAACCAATGCACATGCTCCGATCTGATGGAGTTGGGGAGCCAACTCAACATTCTGCAGAGAGTGAAGAAGTGGCTTTGGAGGCAAATGCGATATGTGAGCTGGAAGCTCCTATTCACATATTACCAATATGTGACGGCATAAACGTACCGTAAAGGGGAACATCTTGACGGTAGGCGTAATGATGCTTCTGAGAGCCTAAGAGTGATCGCCTTGGGACAGATGCCCCATCTGCACCCTCGCAGACGGAGGCTGCAATCAGCAAAAGCAGGACAAGCCAGCTGGATGGATGTGACCCCATTGGAGCTCCCCTTTGCTGCACCCTGTGCTGCCCTTGCAACTCTATGATCAGCTTAAGGAGTTGCTGGTCTCAATATTGCAATTGAGCACTTTCTTGGTGACTGGAGAATGCTCCAATGAAACCCCACAAAACCTCGTACAGAGCTTCTGATCTTCTGGAGGGATTGCGCCTAGCTGTTCCATCCAACAAACGGCCAGGGATACATTATAAGCCCATGAATAGGCAAAAGAACACCGACACCTTGCGCCAGAAAAACTTGGAAGATCAAGTACCTAGCGAGAGAACTTGAAGGTCTGTCTGTGTGCTGTGGCTGCTTCAATACAAAGGTGAATAATTGTCATTGATCACTTTCTCTCTCTTACATGGATTGCTCAAAGGTGCAGAAGTCCCGCTTATAAGCACCAAAACATAATCGAATGGGCGGAATACCAGCTTCGATCAGTATAGCAATTACGTAGCATACGCAATCTGGATAAGGTTTCGATGTCGAGAGCTGAAAAGACAAGGAAGAAGTATCAAAGAGAAATTCCCAGCTCAACGGATCCATACGCCCACGTCGACGTGAGAGAAGGAAGTGTTGAGATTGCTTGATGGAGGGTCACTTTCATCAACACCAGCACTGGCAGGACTCTGGAGCGCTCATCTTGGGCGATCAAGGGGAGCTTGGATTAGAATCCATAAGAGGATTGGGTGTTTCTAATTGCTGAGCCTTCCCAACTCTCAGTGTCGCGCACGCACTCGGTGGTTCCATTTCTTTTTGAGTCAAACGCAAAGACATTCCCATGTCGGGCGCTCTTAGGCCCGCGGTGGCTGCGGCCCGAGCAAGTCTGCTCCAGCACCTGCGGGTTGGTGTTACGCCGGCACTGCACACAGCAGGGGGTTTACCTGGCCAGAGCGTCTTTGATGGACTCTGTTCTATTCTGGCGCCCCGGTACTTTGCAGACGCAGCGAAAGGGACGTACTTGGACAAAGGCCAGGTGACGGATAGAGTGCTCTCCGTGGTTAAGAACTTCCAAAAGGTGGAGCCGAGCAAGGTGAGGCCCTCTAGCGGATGCTTTTGTGCTCTTTTTCAGGATGTTGGTGGTGGGTCAAGAATATTCACTCGGGCAGTTGTAACCCATTCTGTGTGGAAGGAAGAGCATCAATCTGGAAGTTCGACTGGCAGCATTGTTGATTGCCGTTACCATGTGTGCAGGCCATCTTCGAGCCGGATCATGCATGCATTGGTTGCTTCTGTCTGCACTTTTTTGCTTGACTGTGGGAGGTTCGCTAGCGAGTCTGCAATTTTGTTGCTCACTGTCAGTAATTGTGCTAGCTCACTGGTGCGTGCTCGTCGTATCAGCTTTTGCTGCATTGGTGGTTGTCTGTAGATTGGAACACAGGTTCCCAGGACCCTGATTTTGAGCAAGAAGGCTATGTGCCACTACCAAGCCAAAGTACCCTGTCCAAGAAACTCTCGCCGCAACTAGTACTACTCAGGATTGCGAGTTGGCTCTCTCTGCAGCGATCGCTCTGCGCTCGGGTTTCAGGCCACGATTGATTCAGGAAACAGAGGAATTTTTCGTAATTCTGATGTATTTGCCACTTGGCCTCCAATAGAGAGATTGTCGAGTGGTGCAGTTCAAGCAGAATGTGCATTCTCGAGCACAATTGACACATGGGGGATGAAAGCCTCGAGCCCCGGCTCTGATTCTTCATATTCTCTACATAGAACCTGTTTCGGTCCAAGGGTGTGGCATCAAAGGCACTGGTGCAACTATTACACCCCCACCAGAAATGTAGACTTGTGAATGATCAGGTCTGAAATTATGTTCTTAGATCCCTTCTAGTGACGATTTCTTGACTCGTGCTGCACCATCTGCAGGTCACGCCCACGGCTCACTTTACCAAAGATCTGGGACTAGACAGCCTGGACACGGTTGAGGTGGTTATGGCTTTTGAAGAGGAGTTTGGTATTGAGATCCCCGATAGTGAAGCTGATAAGATCCTCTCAACGGCTGATGCTATCGAGTTCGTGGCTTCCCACCCACAAGCAAAGTGAGGTCCTCAGATCTATCGGGTGCTGTTTCAGACCAGATGCTGCAGAATCAGCAGCTTCCTGTACACAAGATTCAAAACATAGTGAGCAACGCTCAGGGTATTCAAGCTTGCCCTCGGTTGCTCAGCAGAAGCATTTGCAATTACTCATAGAGTCTCTTGCATCCTACGGTCAAGAAACGTTGTAGTTGGTTTCCCCGGATAAAAGGCTCTACATGAGCATCGCAGTCAAGCATGTTTGCAGTCACTGTGTTGGATCAGGATGTTGAGAATGTCGCATACAATATGTACAAGAAGGGCCTGCTGTGCTCCATGCATCGGAGTGCAACCAACTGTCTGCAGCCAAGCATGATGATGCATCACTGCTTGGGATGCTTGGCGGCTTTGAGAGCTGCCATCGATGTCGAGATAGGGACACATTCATACTGAGGAGATCTTCTGACGGTCTAAAGTTTGTCACCTGCAATCACTGCTTGTTTGATAGTCACTAAGACCAGGTGCGAGGCCGCGCATGACTGCATGAACTTTTGCGGCCACGTCATGACATGAAGGACGGTCAGTTCCTACCGTACGCGTTAACTTTAAGCTGCACATGAATTGGCACGGTCACACTAATTAGAGCCAGCTCTTTAGATCTGACCTACAATTGCAGCGCTTGTTGCATGGAATAGGCAGATTTTGTATACTTAAAACTCGCATATGACATGGGGTTGGCCGGCCAGCCCAAGCTAGAGCTCCATATGGCTGCACACGGCGCTCCCATTTCGATCGTGTGATGATTGGACACGTGAATCCAAAGTCCATTCCGAGCTTGATGAATGGTTGTTACAGCCTCTGAGCTAGGGCAGCATGAATGTCCAGCTCGGATCCTCAATTCTGGTTCAAACAAGTAATTTATGCGACCGGCATCATCCGATTCCCTTGTGTTGTTCTATCGACATGTATATGAGCCTGAAAAAGGATCCGCTTGCACTTGAGCGAAGTCGGAGCTAGAGTAAGTACGCCAACTGGGCTTGGCTTATACATGCAAAGGCCCCATGTTCGAACTTCACAGAAAGGGCCGTATCAACGAATTGTCCCACAAAACATGGCGAGTGAAGTTGCGTAAGGCTGCAAAACGGGCGTCACGATCCTGAAGCGTCACCATCGATTGCCCATCGCAGTCACAGGTTGTGAACAAGTGTGACAAATAAGAACTTTTCAAAATTGTTTCGCTGTTTCCACCATCCTCCGTGTCCTACCCTTGGCACCACTGCCCCGTACAACGACGTCACTCAAGAACTACTCTCGGCCCCTGCGGCTGTTTTTCCCGCAGGAGCGGGCGCAGACGCCTGCGGCTTGCTGTTTCCGCTTGCGAGCGCATTCTTACGCTCCATCTGCAGTGAGCGGCACAGGCTCTCGAGCTTCTCCTTCTGAGCCCGCAGCGTCTCTGCCTGCTTCTTCCATTTCTCCCTCTGCACAAGGAACAGAAACGTCACTTTCCTCGATTGATATGGAGGCACAGATCAGACTTCTATGTCTTTCTTCGGTTTTCCTTTGAAAGGAAAATCGTCACTCCATTATCTTGATACTGGCGATATAAAGCGACATTCAGAGACTACCAGAAAAGATTGGCAGATGACAGAGAGGGAAAGAAAAAGAAGAACAACGAGTCGTCGTTCTTCCGACGACAAAAAGAAGCGATCAGGCCCTCACCTCCTCTGCCAGGTCCACGACGGCCAGGTCGCTCTTCTGGCCCTTGTCGCGGAGGCCCGCGTTCTCCTTCTCCAGTTTCTTGATGGTCTTGGACATCTTCTCCATCTCCTTCTTGAACGTCGCAAACACCTCGTTGCTCTTGGTCAGCGTGTCCTGGAACTGCTCGAACTTGTCGCCGTACATCGCGAGCTGCCCGCGCAGCTCCGCCTCCGTCTTGAGCAGCGCGTTGATCTGCTCCGTGTACATGCGCACCTGCAGTCGCAAATTTTCAAGGGGAATTAGAAAGGGGAGAAAGAAAAAAGAGAAAAACTGTTTTTGGAGTAGGAGCTAAGAAGGGAGACCATGA